CATGTTAACATGAGATAGAAATGACATTTTTTATCTAGTTTCAAGTATCATGCCTTATGTTAAATAAAACTACATTAAGGGTTTGATTCTTTTGGTTAAAATAGGCAGCTTTTGGGAAGGAAGCTCTTTTCCAATTAAATGCTTTTCCTATTTAAATCCAAAAGAGTCAAAGGTTAATACTTAGTTCAATAAAATGCATGGGAAAAGGCTAAGATGTAGATTAATTAAGTAAGTACAGTAATCTGTTGTTACAAGGATATTCTTAGAAATGGAAAAAAATCAGAATAAAAGTAGATTCTTGAGTTCTGGAGTCTTTTGTTTTGAAAATCCTCAAAATCAGGTTTTGCGTAGGAAAGTATATACATGTGGACTAGAATTTATATCTAATTTTAGATTTATGTCACCGGAAAAAAACTCTCAACACTGGCTTTTCTCTTGATGAAAATGTAAACCAGCAAGAAACTGGGGCTGGGAAAAGGAGGCAGGAACAGGAATGACATTGGAAGGCAAACAAACAGGAAGAACTTTTATAGTGGCTTTCTTATATGATGCTTATTACCATAGTGTCTGCATATGCTTTCTCAGGTCCAACACCTCAGCAATGGCTAGGGCCAGACAGGACACTTGGATTATTTTTCCCTTTCCCTGTACTTCGTGGACTGCACAACCTCCTCTGTGTACTGCAGCAGCAATTTTTTCCTGGGGTCAAAAGCAACAGCTGCCACCTTTCTGCCACCTTTTATATGCTTCCCTGGTTTGTGGTGTTGAGTAGGCACACTGTAGCACAGTGCTCTTAGGGATTTTGCAAACATAGAAACAATCATGACATGCTATAATAGTGACTTAAAATGGTGCAAGTAAGCAAGATTTAGGTCAACACCTGCCACTAATGCAGGGTAACTAATAACTAGTGATGGCAAATAACATTTCTCATTGCTTTAACTGTATGAGACTTAAGATCACAGAATGACAGAATGTTAGAGATTGGAAGGGACCTTGAAAGATCATCTAGTCCAATCCCCCTGCCGGAGCAGGAACACCTAGATCAGATCACACAGGAACGCATCCAGGCGGGCTTTGAATGTCTCCAGAGAAGGAGACTCCACAACCTCTCTGGGCAGCCTGTTCCAGTGCTCTGTGAAGAAGTTTTTTCTCATATTCAAGTGGAACCTCCTATGTTCCAGCTTGAACCCATTGCCCCTTGTCCTATCACTAGATGTCACAAAGAAGAGCCTGGCTCCATCCTCCTGACACTCACCCTCTACATATTTATAAACATTGATTAGGTCACCCCTCAGTCTCCTCTTTTCCAGGCTAAAGAGACCCAGCTCCCTCAGCCTTTCCTCAGCAGGGAGATGCTCCATTCCCTTTGTCATCATCGTGGCTCTGCGCTGGACTCTCTCCAGCAGTTCCCTGTCCCTCTTGAACTGAGGGTCCCAGAACCGGACACAATATTCCAGATATGGGTATTTCCATGGTACAGGCTGAACTGACTAACTGTGGGCATAAATTAAAGAAACCTTTTGTGTTTACAAACCCACCTCAATAGTGTTTTCTCTATCCTGCAGCACCACTTAATTTTCAGTTGGAGTCAACATGCTGTTTTTCATGCACCAGCTAATTGCGTTCGAGTGTTGAACTATCCTGGCAGTAACAGTGTGTGGTGTTTGCACTAAGTAGCATGCACTTTACCTGCTGTTTATGTTGCTGCCATGATAGACGTATGAGAGGCACTTATGCAGCAGCACCTGAGAGAGCTGTAGGGCCTTAAAAGCAATTTTTTTCCACTGTGTTTCCATGGTTGACCTGATGGTAGAACCAAACAAGATAACCCTAATGAGCACATCATGCATCAAAATCAGTGTAGTACACTTATTGTCTGCATATGAGTGTTTAAAAGTGTCTCAATCCCAAGCAGAAATACAGGCTGGGTGGAGAATGGATAGAGAGCAGCTCTGAAGAGAAGGACTTGGGGTGTTGGTTGATGAGAAGCTGAACATGAGCCGGCGTGTGCGCTTGCAGCCCAGAAAGCCAACTGTGTCCTGGGCTGCATCAAAAGAAGCATTAGCAGCAGGTTGAAGGAGGTGATTCTTCCCCTCTACTCTGCTCTCATGAGACCCCACCTGGAGTACTGTGTTCAGATGTGGGGCCCCCAACATAAAGAAGACCTGGACCTGTTGGGGAGAGTCCAGAGGAGAGCCACGAAACTGGTCAGAGGGCTGGAGCACCTCCCCTGTGAGGACAGGCTGAAAGAGTTGGGGTTGTTCAGCTTGGAGAAGAGAAGGCTCCGAGGAGACTTTAATAGCAGCCTTCCAGTACCTGAAGGGGGCCTACAGGAGAGATGGGGAGGCACTCTTTATCAGGGAGTGTAGTGACAGGAAAAGGGGTAATGGGTATAAGCTGAAAGAGGGTAAATTTAGACTAGACATTAGGAAGAAAGTTTTCATTGTGAAGGTGGTGAGGCACTGGCACAGGTTGCCCAGAGAAGCTGTGGATGCCCCATCCCTGGAGGTGTTCAAGGCCAGGCTGGATGAGGCTTTGAGCAACCTGGTCTAGTGGAGGGTGTCCCTGCCCATGGCAGGGGGGTTGGAACTAGATGATCTCTAAGGTTCTTTCCAACCCAGACCTTTCTATGATTCTATGATTTTATGATTCCTAAGATCCTCCAAGCAAATTGTGCCGTGATGAAGGCATGCTGTGACACAGAATGCATTCGGTTCACAGAATGGGTTTGAAGCCTGGTTTAGCAGTCATAGTAATTTTGGGTTTTGGTTTAGGTTTGCTTGGTTGTTTGGTTGTTGCTTTTTTTTTTTTTCTTAGAACTATGGATACTGTAATTTTAGAGGTCAGCCACTCTGCAGAAACAGTGCGCTGACACTTGTATGTGTTCCACTCCAGACTACTGTGTGAAAATCACCCTCTCTTTTGAAAGTCATTTAGACCAGTTTCCAAGTTCCTTTTGTTTAAAGACTGTTGGAGAGGGCTGGGGAGAATTGTACAGGTTGTAAGAAAATTTTGACATGTTATGCACATGTATGAGTTCCTACTTAATGTCTGGATTTTCTGTTAGTTGCCATAGAGTGTATTTTTCAATTACTTTTTGCTGTTGATGTTAATTCTGTCAGAGAAGCCACTAAACATTTGTTGCCAGACAGCAAGTTCGTAAGAGCAACACCGTGGGTAACATATGTATCAATAAAGATTTTTAAATATTTGTGTAACTTTCAGCTTTTCTGACTTGCTCACATTGATCTGAAGAGCTAATAGTATATCTATTACAAGAGTATAAGCAATGTAGAGTGTACAGTGAATTATATTGCACCTTTTTTTCTGAAAGGTGTAGTGGCAAAGTTAATGGTTTAGTGTTAAAAGATGCTAGATTTTCTTCTATTCCTTCAAATGCAGCTTAAGAGAAAAAAAAACCAGTTTCTAATGGCAGTCAGTTATGGAGCTTTAAATTAGGAAGTACTAAACATGCTGTCCTCTTAGTATAGTGCGAGCTGTCTGTGCCAAACAGTCATGACACAAAGCCAAGAACTTTTCTAAGGAAAATGGCCCAGGCATTCAAGGCATGTATTCGCTGTTCCATACACTGTTAAGAGCCAAACAGATGAAAGGACTGACAAGCAAAGTGTAACAAGGACTTCAAATGTGTTTGTCCAGCAGGAAAAAGTGATGACTTATATTGTGGTGCTGTAGTCTCATTCCTTTGGCTCAACTGAAATAATGTTGCCGTGTGATCAGCTTTGAGGTATTTAACTGTACTTTCCTTATTCTGTCCTGGACTTTTTTCTTTTTCCCCCCTTTCTTGCTTTTGCCTTGGGTTCTTTGGTCCTTTACTTTGCTTGATTTTGTCCTTGCTTTGGTATAAAATAGACAGTTCTTGTGTGAAACTGTGAGTCAAAAGTGAAACAATATCGATATATTTAAAATTCAAGCAAGAAGTAAGGTTCTCTAAATAATACAAAGACTTTAGCCTATTAAATTTCTGTATTAAAATCCATTCCGAGTACACAGACTGACTGCAATGTATACATTATATTAGATGCTGCTGGATATTAATTGTGGTTTGTTTCTGAAATGCTTTTTGACTTAAGGGAGGTGTCCCTGCCCTTAGCAGGGCGTTGGAACTAGATGATCTCTAAGATCCTTTCCAGCCCTAACCATTATGTGATTCTATGATTCTATGACTTCTTAATTTGAAGAAAAAAAAACATATTCTATTCCATATGAGACTTGACTGCTACAGAGCTTTGCTTAAACCATGCCTGACTGGTAGTATTTATATATGTTTGGTAGCACTCCCTCTTACTTTGAGGGAAATGCCAACATATGGCATATTATTCAGATATTAAATAACTTGCCCCGAGGCCAGCTGTCAGTTTTTACATCTCTCTAATGGGACGTCTAATTTTTTGTTTTGTTTTGTTCTTGCCAAGGCCGCTAGGTGGAGTCAAGCCCCGGAGACCCTGCGAGCGCCGGTTGCTGGTACCTGGGGAGCGGGGTCTGCACGTACTCAGGGCTGGCTTCCAGCGTGCAGCGCTGGTTCTCCGGCGGCGGGCAGGACGAGGAAGTGCTGTTTAACTAGGATCTGCTGTTTCAAAAGATAGACCAATATGGGCTTACTATTGTTCTTCATTTTAAATTGGCACCTTTTACAAAGCTTCATATAGCAAATTACTATTTTAAAAGTTGTTCATTGTGTTCGTTGTGATTTGCAAATCTGCTCTTAGTTATTATCTGTAGGAATGTGCCCTGAAGTATACAGAAGGTGCAGCAAGAAAAACTTAATTGTACTTATTTGCCATTAGAGTGTTTAAAAATTAGAAGACGACTATATAATCTGAATTTGAGACCCCTCTCTTTCTCTCTCTCTCTCTTCTTTTTAAAATCTTGGCTCTCACTTTAACCCTGAAGCTGTTATCCCAGACCTTTTTGTCACCAGCTAATATAGTTTTCCATCCTGCATGAAGCTGATATATTCTGATTTTTGTGTGGAACTGTCAGATCTATTAGCAAGTACAATAAACTGGTCTGTATATATGTTTCCCAGAAATACATTTATTAATACACTTTATTCTGTAAAACTATATTTTACATTGTAACAAATACTGTTTAGGTGAAGATTAGTTTGAAAAGCAGAAGGTACCATTAAAGAGTCTTGGATGGAGTTGTAGCTACCCATGCGTAATCAGAGTTAAATGAAACAGCAGACTTAAATCTTGAATGTATTATAAAGTGATTATCAGTAGTAGGAGCATATTGTGGACAAGCTTGCAGGTTTTTGTGTTTGCGTTTTCTAAAGCTAGTACTACCCTTTGCAGCTTCTGCTTCATAGATCGTGGCTTTCATGTTTTATTGTAATAGTGTTAGTGGAACATGCCAACAAAGAGTTGCTTGGCATGTTCCAGTCACAGAAAAATGTTTCTAAACAAAATCAGACTTACATAAATGTTTAATATGTTTAAAATACTTACTGCACAAGTGAAAAATCAGTTTGTAAAATTCAATTGCTTTGTTTTTCCTTGTAGCAGTTTTGTTGGCCACTGTATTGCTGTAATAGAGCATTGTAAAGGTCCTTCTTTCTAAAATCAAATCAAATTTATATTTTCCAGAAGCAGCAAGTAATCAAATTGTAGATTTGTTGGTATAATAAATTACCTGGCATGCTAGCAAAAGCAGCAATGGTTGCATTCTATGACTTAGAAGCTTTGTTTTCTTCTTAAAAATCCTCTATTAGAAGCAGCTACTAAGCTTTTAAGTTGTTATGCAAATTTACATTGCTTTTGGTAGAAATTATAATTCTTACTGCTTTTGAAATTAGCAAATTAATAGCATAATTTGTGAAAACAGCTGCTTCTATATAAGTCCAAACCAGACCTTCTATGCCTTCCCTCCTGAACTTCTCATAGATGGATGAAACAGTGCACAAATGCATAATATATTTCAGTCCGCCCTGTATGTTATTCCGCTGCCGTTATTAGATGACATAGGACTCAGTCAAGAAAAAAGCCAGTGCAAGTTGCCAACAGAGGCCAGTTAGCTATTCATAGGAAAAATGCAATGTAAATAAAGGTTCTTTAATTTTGAAGAATCTCACAGGAATACAGGGACTGGAAGGGACAATTGGGGGGGGATAAAGTTTAGTCCTGTGCTATCTTAGGTAACCAAGTAATATAATCCATTCTATAAGCTTGTCAAGCTCCATGTTATAAATAGTTAGAGGTGTTTTCACCTCCTGGTGCTTGTTGGGCAGCTGTTTCAGAATCTCACTGTCCTAATGGTTACAAATGCCTCTTAAAATTCTAGCTTACATGTATTCCTGAACCATTTGTTCTAATTTGTTTTCATATAATTTTTACCTCTTATCGTCGATAGGTCTTTTCACTTCGGGGCATTTAAATGGTATGCTTAATGACAGCAATCATCTTGCGACTTTTTTTGCTAGACTAAATCATAGAATTGTAGACTGGTGTTGGTTGGAAGGGACCTTAGAGATCATCAAGTTCCAACCCTCCTGCCATGGGCAGGGACACCCTCCACTAGACCAGGTTGCTCAAAGCCTCATCCAGCCTGGCCTTGAACCCCTCCAGGGATGGGGCATCCACCACCCCTGTGCAACCTGTGCCAGTGCCTCACCACCCTCACAGTGAAAAATTTCTTCCTAATGTCTAGTCTAAATTTACCCTCTTTCAGCTTATACCCATTACCCCTTTTCCTCTCACTACACTCCCTGATCAAGAGTGCCTCCACATCTCTCCTGTAGCTCCCTTCAGGTACAGGAAGGCTGCTATTAAGTCTCCCCGGAGCCTTCTCTTCTCCAAGCTGAACAACCCCAACTCTCAGTCTCTCCTCATAGGGGAGGTGCTCCAGCCCCCTGATCATTTTTGTGGCCCTCCTCTGGACCCACTCCAACAGCTAAATGTCCTTCAATGCATTTCATGTGTGTTTCTAGCAGAAGTGCAGACTTAGGTGGCTATTGACACTTACAACCCCTTGTTTAGGTCAGCACAACTGTTTTGAAGTCACACATCAAATAGATGATGGAGCTGATAAGCTAAAAAAAAAGCTGCTCCCCCTTGCATGTTTTCAGTCCACTTCATTTTTCACCTGTATGCTGCCCTGACTCTTTTCGAAGTATGACTCTACCAACAGTTATGCTGCTATCATTGATGTAGTGGTGTACAGGGACAGAAATGAGCAGCAGAGGGAGGAATGAGAAAGAATATCTTGAGACAAGACTACTGCTCAACAGGAACCTTATCCTTAACACAGGCTTGTTTAAAACCTCTACCACTCTACACTGCACTGCAGAAAATTGAGTGTAATGTCTGAAACAGTTTGAATTGGTCAGTTCAGGCATCTTTGCAGTTCTTGGTCTTCATAATCTCCAAATCACTATGTGGGTTTTATTCCTTATTTCAGAAATGCAAGTCCTGTCTGTTTCTGTAGTTTCAGTTTTTCTTAGAAGATTGAATAGTAATTTTTTTATCCCTGTCTGCACGTAGTCATCCTCTAGATGAAAAAGATAGAAGATAAACCTCTGATATATTTAAAATTAGACTTAATTAATAAGGTTAGTAGCTATATATATGGTCCTGCTGGACAAGCTTTGGCTCTAAAAAGGACTTTGTTCTAGGTAGAAAAATATCCTCTAATTATTAAAGATCTGTTTCCTTTTTTTAATGTTTACTGTAAACTACATCTTGAACTAGAATGCTTGCTATGCAAAGATCATTTTTATATTTTCAGATCCCTTGGGCCACGCCTTGTTTTGAGAATGACGTTAGGAGCAGAAATTACAAGCCAGCTCAAGGCTTCTTCATACATAGCATCAGGCCGAAACCTTTTGAGATGGGACCTGTCACCAGAGCAAATTAGAAAAAGAACAGAAGAACTAATCAGGAAGACAAAGCATGTGTATGACAGTATCGGGATGCTTGATATTGGAGAAGTAAGACATGAAAATACTGTACGGACCTTGGCAGATATAGAAATGGAATATGCAGGTTAGTGTACATTTTCTGTGATTCCTTCCAGAAGTCATTCCATCTGCACGTGAAGAAACTTCAAGAAAGATAGTTGTTTACAATTCTGATCCATGCTGTTCTTCCTTAGAATGTGTAGAGGCCTCTCAAGGGTCCTCTGATCGTAATAATCTTTCAGGACCTCTCAGCAATATGTAACATGATCAGCTACTAAGTTCTGCTGCTTTATTCTAGAGGCAAAAATAAGGATTAGCAAAACTGTGCTGTTGATCTCTTTGCATCCAGAGAACTGCATTGGTCACCTGTTTTCTTTTTGCGTGTGAAGCTCCATACAATTACATTTTCTTTTCTGACTGTGTACAACTGCTAGGGGACAATGTGCAACTGTGTAGACTATAGCATCTGTGGTATGCATAGCACATTCAAACCTGATAAGCAGTGCTTTTTTTCAGACACTGCAGAATCTGAGACAAGCAGGTCAAGTGGAAAAATTGAAAGGTTGATAAGCTCCTAGTACAGAAAGTGTGATGGTTGAAAATGGGGGACATTTTGAATGATCTTCTTGAAAGAAGATTGCTTTACTTGCTCAGTTTTATATTATGGCCTGCAAAGCCTTGAAGAATCCAGGGAGAGGTGTTGGTCATGCATTCCCATCTAGATTGTTCTTAGTGAATTATCAAGACATGCCAATACATAAACGGAGTTTAATGGTCAAACACAGGTCATTCAGTTAATTTGTTAATAATTGTTTGTAAGAGGAGATGAGAAAAATAAAAATGTGTCTTGGGTGGCTTTGTTTTGAAGAACCTATCACATGGTGGCTACATGACTCAAAAAATTGTCAGTGTAATAAAATGTCAAGTTCTCTTAAATCCTCTGAAAAAATCTGCAGTAGCAACAGGAGTGCTGAAATCAGCCACCTTGGCTTGGAGCAAAATCTTCACCTAGCAAAAAAGAGCGGCCTGCAGCTCAAATGATTGTACTGTAATATTAGTCTGGCTTTCACATTACTCAGAATTACAGTTAAGTCATATCCAGTGAATTGACTAGAATTGATGCTGACAGAAAGACTGAGTAATCTTTGTCCACACAGCTTCCTGTCAGGTTCAGTTTTAATAGTACCAATGTATATTGTATAATTATTGTAAGCCTTTTCACCAAGAAATAAAACTCTCTGCTTTAAATTAAATTAGAAGGAAGATCGATGTTTGATTCAGAATAAAGTGTCCATCAGCTTCTCAGCATAGCCACCAAGACTTGCATCCTCCCAGATGTACTTTTTTCCTGTACATGCTGTTGCAGTAGTGGGTCATATTTAACCTTTTAATGCTAATCTTCAACACTGTATGTGAAATTAGTATGACTTACCTGTGAAATAGCCCGTGGCATATGATAAGGATGTATTACCACAGTAAGACTTCCATGAAAACCCTGGGTTTTTAAGGCCTGTGTGTCCCTTTCACGTGTACATGAAAGACCTACCCCAGTAACTGGAATTTACTATCTGAAAAGACACAGATGACAGCAGACCTTACATTTCACTTGGAAGTTCCCAAAACTCACTTCATCCTTTTAAGACATCTTGGCATGAGGACAAGGTGGGGGTAGAAAGTTTCCTGTGGACTTCAGGAAGAACCATATGCCCATTTTTGCATTCCAAAGGTATCTGAAGGGCTGAGAGTGTGTATCAGTATTTCATAAAACAATTTTGGATTATGTAAAATTACAGAGCTTTAAATCATCCTAAAATGTTGTTACTCTAAAATGTGCTTTTGGGGAGGTGGAGAGCAGTGAAATTATGATTGGTTTTGGATTAAGTTAATTCAGCTGGTCATAACATTAATTTCTATTTTAGCATTCTTTTCAATGTCATTATAAGAGGCAATGTTCCTTTAATAAGGAAGGATTTACTTAATCTCAAAAGTGAGATTAAATCTAAAAAATCTAAAAAAGTAGTATTAGCTTCTGATTTCTAGAAGTTCAGAATACATATACAGCATCTTCTATGTTTGCCTTATTGTTTCTACTTAAACACAGAAGAGAAGCTGGGAATTTGACACTGCTCTCTGTGTAAAAATAACTTCAGGACAGATGGGCATGTTTGAAAGATTCAGAGCTTTCAACTTTAAATGCTAACATGGAAGCATCTGTGTCAGCTATGAGACAATGTTAGTCTTCACTTACCAATGGTTCATCTTTCAAAAATCATGTCTTGTATTTATACACCTTTCGGTTGATTTTGTAGAAGATGAGACAATTAGGCTTGCGTAATCGTTTCTGTAAAATGCTTATTTGTTACAATGTTGTGCAGTTTTGTCCTTTCACCTATTAATTTTTACATTATCTGTAATCACTTTATTTGCTTCAAGGCTGATCTGAAGTGTCAGGTTGCTTTGGGTACTTCTTTTTATGTCTTCTATAAATATCAGAAGGGGGGAAGTTCCTTATCCTTCCAGTGTTTCTAGCCTTTTGTGTAAGTGTTCATTGCCTTTTATTTAAACAGTGGAAAGAAGCATGTTGGATTTTCCCCAGCATGTCTCACCTGACAAAGAGGTACGCTTAGCAAGTACAGAAGCTGACAAAAAGCTTTCTAATTTTGATGTGGAGATGAGCATGAGAGAAGATGTGTTTCAGAAGATTGTTTATTTGCAGGTAAATCACAATGATGTCTGCATAACTTGTGGAAATGTAGATAAAATTCAGCAGTGAAAAACTTTTATCTGAAGAAGTTAGTATCCACAGTGCTCTTCAAGATCCCATCAGTGTATGCATTTCCCCTGTGTCCACATCAGTCAAATCTTTCCCGTGGCACACAGCTATACAGAAATACTGTGGTTCCACAAAAAGTGAAGCCAGTGTGACTTGGTGCTTGCGCTCTTTTCTTCTCATTTCTAGGTGTGTGTATCCTTCTCTCTCCATGGCAATAGCCTTGGCTTTTGTCTAATCTTCCAACGTGCTGGTACAAGGAAACTCAACTAGCAGAAGGAAACCCATCAGGAAAAATAAAATGTATTGTTTTCTGCTGGCTGAGCTCCCTGAACTACTTTGCCCAGAGCATCACCAAGGGGGGAGGAAGAAAAGAGGCAATATAGCAATGTATTTAGGTTGGCTTATACTGCTTTTGAATTTGTGTCCAGAATTGTGCTTTACTGAAGTTGTTGAGAATTTTAAATTTTGGAGTTTAAATTGTGAAGGTTAATGAGAACATATAACTGCAACTGTTGATCTGCTATTTATAGACAGCTGTAGACATTGTATACTTCTCATATATTGCTTAAGCCTCAAAATAAAACCAAGTCAAAAGATACATTTACTGTTGAACTAGTTTCTATAGCTTTTGTGTTTCTGTTTAGTTTCACTTTTAATTGAGCACCTACAGATATCTTGTATTCTTCATTTGTACTGTTTATTCTATAGCTCAAACTGGAAGAGCATTTGTTTTTGTTCAAATGCAACTAGTGACATTTAGTAATAATTTTCCAAAAGTGTAAGGTAACGGTAATACAGGGAAGTTATCTAATGTGAAAACTAAAATATATACATTTGTCCATGCTTCGGAGGTGATTCTTCCTTTTCAGCTCTACCCATTTTTGATCTTCTTCTGAGGCTGATATTGGAGCCGTATTTCTTGGAGTTTTGTGTGCTTTTTGCAGCGCTGACTAATATTCGCAGCACCTTATTAAAGTGCTTTCCAATACCATTGTCTTCTATTGCTGTGTTTTCTAGGCACATTTTCAAGTGTTCTCCTATAGCTGGATATTGTTTATGTGTTTGTGGAGGTATTTAGTAGCCCCATTTTGAGGACCTTTTGTTGTGTGTTGGCAGATAGTGCCTTATGCTGGTTCTTTATTTCCCCACCCTGTGACTATTAACTAAATGCTTTGATAACTATTTATTATTTGCTGTGATTTTCTCCACCCTCCAGTACAGTATACATGGATACATTTAATCTGCCATATCTGCATATCTGTCTATTTTTAATTTACAGGAATTTCTGGTAGTAGCTAGAGAAAGGTGATTGCTGTTATTCACTAGTATTACTTTCTTATAATTTTTTTTTTCCAATTTTTTTCATTTGGTGCTTTTCTACTTAATTTTCTTTTGCAGCAATACTTGGCTTTCGTAACAGTAAAAATTATTGCTTAGGTCTCAATTTAATTTTTTAAGAGATTTTTCTTGGCTTAACTGCAGCATGAAAGCATGTTTTAGTATAAGTTTCCAAAGGTACAAACTCTGCACATATATGAACTTCATAATAACTATGAAAGTTGTAGCAGTTTTTGTTGTAGAACAGATGTGAAATTGCTGGTACTGCCAGCCTGATCAAGTCTTGCTATTTTCAAATCTCAAAGTTCTCAATTTTTGCTAAATTTCTAATACCTTCTCTCCTGTTAGAAACTCTTAGTTGAAAAGCCAGGTTCTAGGAGCACATAAAAAAAGACATCCACAAAAGGAAATGTTTTGCTGAAATAATTTTATCAGTTTAATTGAGCCAGTAAAACATTTTGATTAAATCAGATTTTTCATGGCCTCACTGGGAATAGCTCAGGTATGTGAATGCAGTTTCATGATTCTGCACAGGGGCTGGATTAAAATGTGGTAAAGAGAAGGATGACCCTCACACTCCCATGTTATTTATAATCCAGTCAGTCCACTGAAAGATGAATAAATCTGCTTGATTTCCATGATATCCTGAATGTTTTAGCTCCCTTAATGAGGAGTAAACTTTTCTTAAGTTAACAGCTGTTTAGTATTCTTTCTAAATTCTGCCTTTATTTAAGAACTGTTGATGTGAGGTTTTTGCATTTAATTTAAAAAACAAAAAAAAAAAAAAAAAGAGAAAAAAAAATGATCTCTTTCTGTTCTCCACACATTAGGGGAAAAATTCCTGCATAAATTTATGTTGTCGAATATGCTCCAGATCTTATTCTTTAGAAAACTTTTATTTTGTGATCTGAAACTTGGAATAAAGGTGAATTTGGTAGTGAAACTATCATTTTAAATTTTATTACTCATAACATGAGCACATGTTGGCTAGCAGAGGCATGCTTAAGAATGTTGCCGATCTTCTCCACCCACACACCCTCAGGAAACTCAGCCTGATGTAAACAAGTGCTGCAGTTTTTGTCCATGATGCTCTGAGTACGTTTTGTATCTTTTTCTGCCTAAAGATTTCTTCATGGGATAAGGTAGCATGGTTGTCCAAAACAAGTATGAAATAGTATAGGAAATCATCAACGATGACCATTCCAAAACTTCTGTAAGGTTCCAAAATTTCATGTGTGTGTAGTATATTTGAAATTAGCACTTCTGTTGTGGAAATTGTTCATGAAAGAAACACAGGATGACAGAGACCATCCTGACCAGACCAAAGTTCAGAGTTGATCACAGAGCACCCTTGGTTCCTATGCGCGTGAGGGTTTGCGTGCTTGCTTGTCCTTAAAGACCTGGCAGTTCTTTCTGAACACGTATCATCCTGATCTCAAGCATGTCTGTGATGCAGATAAACTTCACAAAGGCTAGTATTAAGATTAGAAGCTATTTAACACTGATTTCTTTTGAAGTGTATGGAGAGATGTACAGTCATCAAGAGAATGATGAAGAACACTTAGTTTTCTCCTCCTTTTTCCCAAAAAGAATCTTCCTCTTTGTTACCTTTAGAAGGAGACAATATTCACTAACTTTAAGGGCTTAAATTAGTGTTCGTGAATTCCCTTCTTCTGCCTAAAATCTGCTGGGTTTGGGCCCAGGAGATTTTCAGGAGCATGACAGTTACATATGCCCAAAGGAGGGACTGGGAGAGCCCTCACAATGCCTAAATAACTCAGTGAGACTTTTCACAATCCTCTATCCTTATCTGTTACTGTAATAAAAGCAGTGTCTTTTTACAGAGATTGGACTTTTCCCCCCCCCCCCCCCCCCCCTCTATTTTTGGGCCTTGCAGCAGAGTTAGCACAATATAAATGTTGATATAGTGACAGTATCTGCATTTTTCACCTCTATCATTTTGAAGTCTTGCTTTTTCTGTCACACTAGCCTAAGGTCAGAGAAAAGAACCCTAGAATTGCAGATTGTCTAGTGAAAAAACAATATGTGAAAATTCTGATTGTTACAAATATTTTTGTGCTCAATGTCACAGCATTGACACTCCTAGATGTAGTGCTTGGTAGCATAAAGATCTTCATGAAGTTGCAGCATTTCAGGGAGTATTCTTTGCCAGAAGCAGAACAGGAAGCCCAGGTGTTGCAGGGAGTAGGGTAATAGCATTCTTTTTATCTTTGTGTTGGGAAATATTCTGTGTGGCTTGCCGTACGCATTTACCACAAATGAGGATAGAGATGTGAGGTTTGACTTGGAGAAGACAGAGGGCATGATTTTTTTTCACTTACTTTCCTCCCAAAAGAAGATTTCCACTATTTACAACCTTTTATTTAAAAACCAACCACACAAAAAAGTGACGGCTGAGTGCTCCAAAAAGTCGTAGCCTTAATGAAGGGCATACCGTGAAATCACATGGCTCACTCATAATTGATTTAGCAATGTGCTGGTCATCCTTTCATGAGTCTATGGATTCTTTTAAAAATTACCTGTAAACAGATAATATTAAAAAGAAAAAAATATTCATCATATGCCAATATTGATAAACCAAGTTAAATCTGCCTATTGCTTTAGAAGAGTTAGTTTATCACAAAGTGAAGTGATTGTTGTCATTTTTTTCACTGGACTTAGAAATTCTTGCATGTAGGCTACTGGTATATGTGTAAGAGTTTTAGGCACAATTGTACTAATGCTCAGCAGTTCTGCTGTAGCATAATGCAACTGGGACTTGTGAGTCTTTGCAGAGTGAAAACAAAGTTAAACTGTTCTCGTTCGTGGTTCTAAAAAACAATTTCCACTAGTTTTTTCATTTTATATAGGGCACTGGTGGGAGCAGACATTGTTTATCATAGGATAATAGGATGGCCTGGGTTGAAAAGGACCTCAAAGATCACCTAGTTCAAACCCCCTGCTGTGGGCAGGGTTGCCAACCCCTAGAGCAGGCTGCCCAGGGCATCATCCAGCCTGGCCTTGAATGCCTCCAGGGATGGGGCATCCACAGCTTCTCTGGGCAACCTGTTCCAGTGCCTCACCACCCTCTGAGTGAAAGTTTGTGTTGTTGTGTGAATTATTTTTAAATGACAGTTTGGAAAATAACTGTTTCAGAGGTTTTATTCTTATTTATTTTTCTCTTGGAATACAGCTAGGTTCCTGTCTCTTCTTTTTTTCTGTTGAAGGAAGACAGGTGATTTGCACTGGCAGGTCATTAGTTGACAGCTGTACACAGTTGTGTAACTCTTTCATAAAATTTGCATGTTTCAACGTCTTTACTGTTCAGATGTGCTAGTCAAGAATTAATTGTATGTAGGTAAGCTGATGACAGGGTTGTTAGGACAAGTCAGAGCTAATTCCAACAGCTTCAGATTTGAAGGTGAACTTAAGCAGAGTATGTCCTCTTTAACAAGGACTATAAGTTAAAACCTTTTTAAAGTGTTCATTTTTATATGAGGGAAGATAAAATTAGAATGTATACAGCATTATTTTCAATTTAGGACAAAATGGCAAGTTTCTGAATTCAGCAGTTATGCTGTAGTCAGTTTGAAGGAAGACCCTCACAGGACTGATCCATGTTCTGTTGAAACAAGTATCTTGCCTGTTGATGTTGGTTGCTTTAGGAAATGCCCGTTCAAGAAGCTTCATAATGGCATGACCAGAGAAAGAAATACTGTTTTATTTGTTGTCACTGATTGATTTGTTCTGAAAGAGAACCTGTATATGCCCCAAATTTTATGCCGTCTGATAACCTTCAGTGACACATCTAATCCTTGGGGTTTTTTTAATCCCTCTTAAATTTTAAGGTACAGTGTTACTTTATAGCACTGATTTTCTTCAAGTGTGAATAAGAAAGCTATCTCTACAGAAAAAGCTTAAGTGCAGTGTACTATAAACTAAAACGGCTTGCCATTATGACAGCATGTAAATGTGCTGAGATACTTGATAAAAGACAATTATTTTTAAACCATGCTACATCAATATAAGAACACTATTGTATAATGTAACTGGTTTTGGAAAGTCCTTCACACTAAAATACAGGATGTTCCTTTTTTACTGTAGTGGTGTTGTAAAGAACAACTCTGTTCAGACTCTTCTAATGCTTAGTGTGTTTCTTACACCATGTTATAAATTAAATTATTCTATACTGTCATTTCAGCAAGCCTGTGATCTTGAAAATGTAAAGCCTGAAACAAAGCGATACCTACAGAAATCAGTTCAAGCGGGAAAAAGAAATGGACTCCATCTTCCTAAAGAAGTGCAGAATGTAAATATGGCTTATTAGTTTGTAAAGCAAAGGTGACAAATTGTTGAAGGGATGAAATTATCGTTGTATAGCTGTACTAAAGTGTGTATTTCAACTTTTGGACCTGCTTAATTACTGCTCTTAACTGTTTTTGGTTTCAGATCCATCCTTTAAACTGCAATCACCTTCAGGTTTTTAAATTTATCTGTCAGACACCCATTGTATTCAGAAGATAGAGGTGGTTTGCATCACCTCCCTTAGCCTTCCAGAGTAAAAGAAGCCTATCTGGAAGTTTTGTTATATATTCTGATTACAGAGAATGTCTAAATTAGATAGATTCCCAACCAAGAGACCTCTGAAAAATGTTGTTTGTGAGTTCAAGCTTCAGAAGTACGTATAATTGTTACAAAGATGGAGCAATTTTAATTTTAATTATTAACCAATGTGGTAAAACGTGTCCAAGATACTAGCATTTTGAATGAAAAAAAAACTTGAGGTAACTTAAAGGGAGCACAAGCTGCACTGAGAATTTTGGCTTCATAAAGGGAGGATTTACTCAAGCATATAAAAGCACTTGTCACTTTTGAAAATCATGAAATAAAATTGTCAGCATCTGAAATCCTGACATAATTATCTTTAAATTCTCAGTAGTGTTGTATAACAATCTCAATTTATGACTCTTGAATAAACTTTACCCTTTGTAGAAAATAATCATTCTTCATCCAAATCCTTCAGTTAGTAGGAACAGTTTCATGAGTATTTGCATTGCTTAAGGGCAACTGATGCCTCTAAAAGAATTTTGAAATACTTTATTAGGAGACGGTAGTAGAATTACATTTAAGTAAAAACTTGACTAATGATAGTCTTTGCCAAGTTTTGTATTTGGTGTGTATTCTTCTGGTAACTACTGTGTATACGTGGACTTGACAGTAATGGGTAGAGACATGCTATGAGATACATTAGAAAATGTTTCAGATGGGTGGATATCAGGATTTTAAAAAAGTTTTGGGAATGGTCTTGTCTTGTGAGTACTCTCTTTTTTGTCATAACTGTATCATTGCAAAGGAGTGTTTCCTCAATAGGTTGCACACATTTTTACTCCCTTGATCCTCATTGATTTTAATGGATATTTTTACACTTAAAATTGCAATTTAGTATTTTAAAATAAAAGAAAATAATTGAGCATTGGCACATAATGCTATTCAGAGAACATGTTTATGCGGTCAGGCCCCTCTGAGTTAAGAACACATCCGAAATGTTGTCAGAGTGATAACTACAAATCAGGGTTCATTAGCAACAGTAATGCTCAGGACCAAATGAAAGATAAAGGGGATGCGGAGGGGGATGCTACCTAGACCGTGTTATTTGCTTAGTGCTGGTAGTCACTGTCAGCTAGTAGAGAGCCTAGCTGGAAAAAGTGAAATATGATTCACGTGGAGGATAATAATTGCTAAATCTGATGGTTGTTTTTCCACTAAATTCAGTTTATACCCAATACAGGAGATAAAGATAATGAAGAAAAAGTTGAGTGAGCTGTGTATAGATTTTAACAAAAACCTGAATGAAGAAAACACATTTCTTGTATTTTCTAAGGAAGAACTTGGTGAGTAGTATGCTTGCTTTTTCCATTTCTTCAGCCTTACAGTTTTACTGGAGTAATTGTTTTTGGCCCAGTGAATGATGGTTAGATTAAGTTAAATTCTGACCATTTTCCAATTCTTCCCCAAAGTCAGTTTAGAATTACTGTTTGTAGGTGTTTATGGTTTCTTCATAGATATGTGCTTCCTGAAGTATTTGCATTGCATCATGTTAGTGTGTCTGTCCTACTTTTTTTTTTTTTCATAACTTTACTCTTCTCTGCTTCTTTTCTCAGTTCTCCATGATCAGGTAATCCTATGTGTATTATATTACTTGCAATTATTGAAAAAACTTTTCTGTCCTGCAATATATTTTAGCTGCTTCAATCATTTAAACTGATCTAGAGATTTCATGTGACAGAAAATTTGAGGATTCATTATCTCAAGACCATGGCATAAAATGTGCTTTAATAACACCAGAGATTTTTAATGTCATATTCAGTTTTTATCTCGTAGCCTCACATTTATTTCTCTTAATGCTCACAAGTGTTTCCAATTTTTATATTGCTTGCTTGTGATTTGCAAAAGTTTTAGCAAATAGATGTAAAAAGAGGGGTTTTATTTCTGTGGAGATTTATGATGTCAAATTAGATTGCAGCAAAACAAATGCAACAATCTCACAAAAAGAGAGGGGAGTAGGTAATTCTTGTAAACATTGTTTATTAAACTGTGTTGTATAGAAGGCCTTCCTGATGACTTTATTAAGAGTTTAGAGAAGACTGTGGAAGACAAATATAAAATTACTTTAAAGTATCCCCACTATTTTCCTGTCATGAAGAAGTGCTGCATTTCAGAAACCAGGAGAAAAATGGAATCTGCTTTTAACTCAAGATGCAAAGAGGTATGTTGTATGTTGACTGTTCTACAGAGTTGAAAAATGCAGCTAGACATTCAAATGTTAGAGTTGTATCAAACATCAGTTTTATCAGTGTGATCTTTAACAGTTCCTTGCTCCAGTTTTTTCTGATGTCTGAAGACCTTAGAAGTTGATGATGCACCTATGTGTGTCTACGTATCTTAAAGTTTCAGTGGTGCTGTAAATAGAAGTAGGATTCTG